TGTAAAAAGTTTTGATAAGAATTTTACAGCACCCACAACTACATGTCATATGAGCACTGTTTTTTTAAGTGTGTGCGTGCGTGGGGGAGGGGGGGGGTGTTGTATTACCAAGCGTTTCTTCTGTCCAGGCGTCCAGGCACCGAACCAGGCCTGAGTCACCTGTTCCACTACACGCGGTGTAGATCGGATTAGGCGCCCGCTGGCGCTGTGGCCACCTCGGGGGCAGCGAAAGGACTTGACTTTACTTGCGTAATAGCAGTTATTCTGTCAGTGTGTCTTTGTGTGGGTGGTTGGCGAGTGCTGTTATTCTCTTGTAGCGCCTTTAATCTTCGGCACTTACTTGACCGTAGGTGGTTGGCGGGTGCTTTGGTGTGGTTTGTTTCTTCTTTCCTATCAAACACGTGTCGTCCTTATCTGCCCTTCTTCCTTTTTATGTATATCACTCTCTTGTAACACTTCTAATCTTCTGGAGCTCATATGACCTTATGCCGTTGCGAGCGCCGTAAAACCTCTACTAAAACTAAACTTACATGACCTAATTGTGTTGCAAGTGCCGGAAAACTCTTACAATGGTGGGTGGTTGGCGGGTGCTCTGATGTGGTTTGCTCCTTCTTTCCTGTCAAACATCTATATTATCCTGATCTCTCCTCCTTCTGTTTTGTGTTTGTCACTGAGAACTCTCTTGTAACACCTCTAATCTTCAGCCTTTATATGACCTTATTGTGTTGCAAGTGCCGTGTATCTCGTACTAAAAAAAACATCTCACTATAAAAATAAGGCAATTACAGAAAACAAAGAAAGAAATGCCTTTGTGTTTCTTTGTGGGTTAACAATTTCAGTCTCTCTTTTTGTACATTATCCCTTTTTTTTTAAGGAAAAAAAAAGAAAAGAAAAAGAAGACTCCAGGGAGGCTGTCCCCTTCTAACCATAACTTTTTCGTATAATGTAACACTGTTTTGTATGAAAAACAACAACCCCACAACCTGTTTTTTTTAAAAAATAACATGTTTTGTTTTGAGGTGAGCGCTTGACTGACTCCCCATTTTGACCTTAAGCTACTTTTGTGGGTGGTTGGCTTCTTCTTACCTTTCAAACATCTTTATCCCCCCTCCTTCTTTTTTGTGTTTGGCTAGTCTTTTGTAACACCTCTAATCTTGGCGCTCATATGACCTTTTTGTATTACAAGTGCCGTAAAACTTTTACTAAGAGCCCCCCCCCCCTCCAAAAAAAACAACAACAAACAAACAAACAAAAAAACCAAAACAAAACAACCCCTCCAACCCCTCCCCCCCAAAAAAAAATAAAAAATAAAAATAAAACCCCAACAAAAAAACAAAACGTCTTCTCTTGTTTGTCCAGGTTTTCCCAACTTGAATTTGTCGTCGTCGGACTGGCTTCAAAATCTGGACAGCCTGAAGGAGAGCATGAGGTCGAGCGGGAACGACTGGCAGAACATAGACATGTCGCATTTCCAGGGTGAGTTGTGATGGCTCGTTTGTCGAGGTTTGGGCTTGTTTTGTGACGTCTTTTCTTTGCGTGATTGTGCGGTGTGTTTTGTATATCGTAGCCTCTGAACTATGTTGTCCCCAAAGTGATCTTCATTGAGGGTGATCTTTGGACAAAATTAATAGTTCTGAGGCGACGTTATATCTGTTTGTTTGGTGGGTGGTTGGCAGTTGCTCCGGTTAGTGTGTTGTTTGCTTCATCTATCTTTCTTATATCTCATCCTTTCTTTTCTTTGAATATTACTCTCCAGTAACACTTCTGATCTCTAATATGACCTATGCGGGTTGCAAGTGACGTAAAACTGTTATTAGAACTAAGCTGAAACTGTTTGTTTGGCAGTATGTCTGGTTTTGGCTAGATGGTGTGTTACTTAAACGTTGTGTGTGTGTGTGTGTGTGTGTGTGTGTGTGTG